TTAAAAGTAAAACAATAAAAACTCGTGTGCAGAACAGTTGTTTTCTTCGTCATGCAGCTCTTTAGTGCAGTTTCCTACGAACCAGTGAACATTTTCCGTCGTCTTTAGTGCAGCTGCCGTTAACGTGAGCGTGTGATGCTGGATTTGGATGTGAAATAACAAAAACTCAGCCTCACCTGTTTGTTGGTGCAGTGACCCGTCGATGTTTACTGGGTTTGAAACACCTCAATATGGGCAGATTCACATTAATAAAAAACATGAACTGCTCCTTTAAGTCCAACTAATTACACGATAATAACTTCTACTGTGACAGAAACATTGAATCTAATGTTCAAAGAACGTTTTAAGGATATTTATCATCTCAAATAACGTTCCTTTGAGGTTAAAAGTGAACTGAGACAGAACGTTTTGATGTTTGGAGGATGTTGTCAGATTATGTTCCATGAGGACAGAAGAAAGTTCTCGAATCGACATTAAAACAATGTTTTCCAAGTGTTATCGAGGCCTCAGAGGACAGAATGTGTTTCTATAAAACGTTCCTGTAATTTGATATATTAAGAAAGGTGGAACATTTTGCCTGCAATGTTCTCAGGATGTTTTGGAGTTGTTGCTGTGGAGAACGTTCTTCTGTAAAACGTTCCAGCAATGCTACATGATTGTAAAGACAGCATGTTTTTAATGCAACATCTGGAATATGTCTTTTAGAGAACTTGATCTGAACATTCTGGGAACTAAGAGAAAACATCCAGCTGAAAACGTTAGCAGAACTTTCCCAGAATGTTTTTGGAATGAGAAACAGGAACTAACTGGAAACTGATGTGATGGGAAATCAGGTCAAACTGAGGCTCACATCACCTGTAGAGAGTTTAATCCGGTTATAATTAAAACTATCTGCTGTGGTTTTGTATGTTTCTGTAGGTTCTGTCTGACGGGTCTGAGCTGCTGCAGTGGAAATAAAAACCACCTCCACCTCGAAGCGTCTGTGTTTCCATCCTAACCCCTGAGGAAATAATTAGTGGATGTTGTGATTAAACACATGAATCCAACCTGGTGAGCAGCTATCTGATGCCACGCTGTACAAATGTATTCATCCTGCTTGATTCATGCACATGGACGTGTTTTATGCACCTGGATGTTCCCCCGCGGCGCCTTCTCCTGCTCCCAGTGTTTGATGCTAAGCTAAACTGTAGCTCAGAGACGTTACGAGCAGCTTCACGAGGTCGTGGGCGGCAGAGAAACCAACACCGGCGCCTCTTCCTGGTGTTTGTTTGCTCTGTTTTGGGTGAAATAATGAGGCTGCGGCGACTCAACCCGCTCACCAGGGTTAGAAACTGGACGGAATGATGTGTCACCGTCGCTAAACTCATAACCGGCTCGAGTCCCGCTCAGTTTTATTCGATTCCCACCCCCAGCTGGGATCGAAATCAGCGCCGTGTTTGTCGGCGTTATTACAGCACGGCATTATTGGAACAACGCTAATTGAGACCTCGTCCGAGCCGACGCCGGGGACTCCGTCTGGGTGAGGCGACGATCATTAATCTTTGATTGCTAATTAGCGTTAATCACCTCTGCAGGCCTCGCCGCGACGCCGCGTCCGACTCCGGCGAAGAGCTGCTGAAGTCAGTTTAATTGCCCTCCGAGTCGATCTGCGCTAACGACGCTTCAGTTGTTCCTGCGGAGGCGTTTCTGTCTCCGTTTGTCACCCGACTATCTGCTCCGACGCCAAAGATGGCTGAAGGAAAATGGATTTGTTCGTCTAACTAGCGGGGTCAGAGGTCTCGGTGTTTCAAATCAAGAGTCCGTCGTTAAAGGGAATAATCACCTGTCGCACCGATGACGCCTCATTAAACGTTCACCGGCTTTAAAGGCAACATCTGTGGAGCTCAGGCTTAAAAACACCGTCTTTTAACATTAAAGTTCATCCACACAGAGGATCTATGAAGGTGGAGAGACTCAATCACATCCTGCAGAGGACACACGCTGCTGTTTTGCACATTTTATCTCATTTTTCTTGAATAATTTTCGTTTCGTTTTTGCAGTTTTTACATTTCATCCCATTTTTTTTACCCTCATTTCTTTTGAAAGTTGCCCCCGATGTGCTCGTTAGGATCTGAACGTACACAGCACCAGAACAGCACCAGAACATTTGGGCCTGAAAAGATTCATTCAGACGCTGCTTTGCAATTAGTCTGCAAATTTTACTTTTTGCCTGTGGGGCATTTTTTTTTCTTACTTTTCACCTTGTATTTACACATATTTTACACTATTTTTACACTTTTATTTATTTCTCTCTCTCTATATATATATATATTTATTGTGTGTTTTATTCTTTATTCTCCTATTTATTATCACTGTTTCAGTCTGGAACAGGAGAAAAACACTTTATACTGTGTATAATTGTGTTTGTGACCAATAAAGGCCTTTTTTTTAATCCACACTTGCAAAAAAACTAAACCGTGTGTGAAGCCTTGTTTAGTCCCTACAATCAATATAGAATAAAATAAAAATGTAGAACAGCCTACGTCACTACATTACAGATGTGAATGTTATATGAGTGTAGATTCATTCAGAATCCTCTCAATAATCGCACGACTCCTAAATAAAACCGTCAGAGTTTTTACTGAGATCTAAATAAAACACATACCTGCCCTGGTCGTAGTTTAAACTTTGTTCTTCTTTACAAATTCTCCGTTTTGTTCTTCGGATGGTTCCTCCTGCTGGAAACTTGTTCTCCTGCGATGCTCCTGTTAGGTCCAAGGGGAACCTGTGACACAACATGAGCGTGTGCTGCCCCAGAAAGACCAGCAACCAGTAAGTTCAACCAGAGCAGCTTTTATTCTCTCCAGAGGGAGACAGGAGCCAACATAATAACCTGAGCGTCAATAAATGACAATTATCTGACCAACCTCCTATGAAAATCAGAAACAAGAGGATACAGATCTTCTCCCTCCTGCTACTGCTCTACTACTATTCACAATTATTTACAGGTTTTCACAAAGTTCTGCTCTAACTTTACCCTGTGAGTGATCACAAGGAGCTTCACAAACAAAACCCACATCGACTAGCTAACCACTGCTGCATCCTCCTACAACACATGCTGGTGTTTCCTGGTGGTGCTGAGGCTGGAGAGGTGAGGAGCAAATAGACGAGGGACCCGCCCCCTGGCCAATCGCGTGGCAGGAATCAGGCGAGGCAGCCAATCAGCGGACACCACCTGCTCCTCATTCACTCATTCACAAACACACTGAGGAGAGAGAGCAACGCAGCAGAACACAAGCAAAACACCAGACATGAGCCACAGGGTCAGAAGACTTCTGCAGACCGGGAGTCGTCTCGTCAGCCAGGATTCTGGTTTATCCGTCTGTGAACGTCGACACCTTGTTGCTCTCATGAAGCCTCAAGATGGTTCATATCAGACACGTCGGACTTGAATGAACGTTGGTGTCACCTGACTACAGAACCTGCTCCCAAAGGTCCATCTTGCAGTTTCAGAAGTCTGAACCCTGATTGGTGGGATCAAGTCTCCTGATTAATGCTGCATCTGTGTTTTGCAACCCTCTGGTAATTCTTTTCCAACCTGGTTCCACTACAGCAGGGGTGTCCAGTCCTGGTCCTTGAGGGCCACAGTCCTGAATGTTTTAGACCTGATTCAGATGATCAGCTCATCATCAAGCTCTGCAGAAGCCTGATAACGATCCTGATCATGTGAATCAGGTGTGTTGGAAGAGGGAAGCATCTAAAACATGCTGGATAGGGGCTCTCCAGGACCAGGATTGGACACCCCTGCACTACAGCATGTGCTAACGTTAGCTGTTATCCACTATCGAGCTAACCGGTGGCTAACGGTGACCGCTAATGGTAACCAACTTCATTGGAACACAACAATACAAAAAAAAAAACACAAAACAATGAGAGCATAGGACTCAAACATACTTTAGAATATATAGTGTCAGGAAACGTTGTTCCAGCACTGATGCTAGTTAGCTTTAGCTCGTGTTGTTGTGGAACATGCCAGATTGTTCAGAGGAGGTTGCAGGTCAGGAGAAAGGTTGACGTTTCCTTTTTTTCTGTGCAGATGATATGATGATCACGCTCTCTTTGCCTGCTGAAACCGACAAGCACATTAGCAGCGAAACTGATACGAAGACGGTAAAAACATAAGGTGGAAAAAATACAAACAGGTGTGTTCCATCTCCTCTTTATGGGAGGTTTGGATTTTAACACCTGTGTTTTAGTCTTCAGCGCCAACAGCCGACAAACATTTCTGCCATCGTTTCCCTTTTCAGTTTAGGATTCGTCTGTGCTGCCAAATTTTTGTTTTCTGTGCCAAAAACTGATCAAAAAATGATTAATTTTGGGTTTGCTGCCAGCAATAACAAAGCACCTGTTGTGTCTACGGATGAATCAGGTGGGGATGGAGGGAAACAGCCGGGGCAGCAGTAACCAGAGCAGCAAACAGGGCTTTTGTTCATCTTCTTGCTTCAAAAAGTGCACATAATGCAGAACACAAGGCTTCATCTGCAGCCAAACTTCAATCAGAGCCACAAAGCGACGCTGGTCCGGGTCGCTGTGCAGCTAATTAACATGCTGAGATGCTCTTTAGATGCAGGATGCAGCTCGTAGTTAATATATTCTGAGAGTGGAAAGGACAAGCAGCTGGTCACGAGGCCACCATCCAGTTATTACTGAGTAAGAATGGCTTTTTTTACACTCTCTATAGGAGCTCTTCATCCTCACACTGCTGCATCGTTTGAAGTGGGTTTTGATGTCACGTTCATCTATTATGAATCGGGTGACAGCTTTCCTCCTATAAGAGACCTGAGCGCCTCTTCTTCCACCGGAGAAGGTGCTGGAAAGTGAAACAGCAACAAAACAGCACAGGACGGACAGAATCAGACAGCAAGTCAAAATAGTTTATTATAGAACAGGATTCATAGTCGAGGCACTACCTCACATTTAGTATAGGCACTGAACTACTGCACTGGAGTCACAGCCACCGCTCGAAGCCGAAGCCTGCGAGGAGCGTCGACGCTGCAGCGAGTTCGAGGGCGACGAACGCGACGCTCAGGATGCACCTGGATCTGCAGGAGAACCATGTTTGGAAATGCTGCTAAACTGAGCTTCGGATTGTGAGTTTGCGTGACTCAAGCTAACGTCATCGTCAGTGACAGTTTGCAAATGCTGCGTCCTAAAAATCTGTTATTACCCAAGAAGAGCAGCAGTTTGAACCAAATCTGCTCCTGAGAACAGCTGCAGGTTTCATGTGTCGCCTACTTTTAGCTTCTTCTGGCCTTCGTGCTTCTGTTTTTAGTTCAAACGATGCCCAGTGCGGGTCGGGTCGCACCTGCTGTTGCAATAGCTCGATAAAACGTGCGCTAAACGTGCATGCTAGCTCATTTGTGTGCGTCCGAGCGTTTTCAGTGTCCCCCAGCGTCATAAAGCAAAGTCTTCGTTTGTCTTTTCTTACAGCTGTGGACAGATCGTCCCCGTTCTGGTTCTAAAACCCCCGTGGTGACGGCGTCGGTCGCTGCAGCAGCGACTCCGGCAGGCTTCGGTAAGCGGAGGCAGCCTTTCCCTGTGAACATCACCACCATCATCCTGCCCTCTAACACAAGCTCCTTCACTTTTGTTTTTGTTCTCTTTTCCATCCCAGTTCAAAAACACACCGCAGCGTCACATTTATCTATTACAGAGAACCCAAAGAGGAAAAAAAAAAAAAAAAAGAAAACACAAAGAAACCACAACGATGAACATCACCACGGTTACCGTCGTTATTACATCGGCGGCTGTAACAGCCAAAGTAACGCGTCCGGTTTCGTCGTCTCCTCCTCCTGGAAGCAGCCGAATCATGTCGGATGTTCGTCGGAGGGATTATCGAGATGATGTCAGATTAGCTTTGTACATCACGACAACGTGTTCCGTGTTTACCGCCGAGCGACGCTTCGCCCTCAAGTGACCGACCGGGATCAGATCTGAGAGAATCCACAAAGCAGCAAAATGTGGGTTTACCAGCTTGATCTTTTACAAATAACTGATAAACTTGGATAAAAGGAGTCTGTGTGCAGCTATGGAGCCCGGGGCGATTAGCGTAGCTTAGCATAAAGGATGGAAACGGGGGGAAACTGCTAGCGTCGCATCACGTGCTGCTTCTTTATCGTTTGATCAGAACAAACGTGGAATAAAAACTCATCCTGGATTTATTTGACTCGAAGTTATTGACAAAAATGTTGCCGTTTAGAATTTTTCTGGGGTTTTTTTGGTTCGTTTTTTCTAATTAATTAAATTTAACGAGCCTTCTTTAGGAGCTGCTAGTTATAATTTTGAGCCAAGCAAGTGATTTCTAAGCTAATTCCAAAGCTAAGCTAATCAGCTCAGGAGCTAGCTTCTTAGCTAACAGATTGGGGAGTTGCACCATGTTTATTTTCAAACTCTCCAACAGAAAAGTTTCATAACTTTCCCCAAAATACCAACTTATCTTGTCTGATCGTGACATATTTGACTAATGGTGTGATTTTACACTTTTAGAATTGCATTAAATACTATTTTATTTAAAACTAATGAATAGAACAGGATTTTTAGCAAGAAACCAGCTTCATATTTGAACATTTGGTTTAGATCTGACACCACGAACATCACATTTTGAATGATGTTACGGTAGTTTAGCGTCTCCTCGATCACGTTTATACATATTTATATAATTTATTTACTAATTGATGTGGTTGTAGCCCAAACGTACGGAAACCCAAAAGTCCCCAAAATCTTTTTTTATTCTTTTGTTCACAATAATAATCTTGTAGGATCGAGATAATAAATGTCTTTAAGGGACGCTGTCTGGATGTTAGAAATATACTTTCAGTAAATTACATTTGCATTAGAACTGTAGAAATGTTCCAGTACATTATTTTATATTAATTTTAACTCCAAATGAGAAGCTTCATGTGTACGACAGGTTTCCGTCAGTGCTCTGAAGCTGTTGCTCAGGATGTTATTGGCCTAAATGGAAATGAATTCCTAAATATTTCTGTTTGTCATCATCAACTTTCTTATATTTCTGCTTTTTTTATTCTCACGTCACTTGAGGGTGAAGCTGCTCCGCTGGTCTGTTGGACGGAGAAGCTACAACTAAACGTCCACACAGTCGTCACAGGGAGAAAGAACACAAAGAACATAAATCAGGATATATTTAACCGTCGTCTCGCCTCCTCGTCCTTCGCTTCGGCGCACACGGCGATCCACTGAGACCACCGAGCAGTATAACCGGGTTTCTAACCGCCCGGCCGGAGCTCGGTTATCGGCTCAAGAGAAGGATTCTGTGTTGAAATTTGTAGTTTTTCTTTTGCAGATCAAAATGCAAATAAAATCCGTAGCTTTTTTTCATCTCTCTCGTCGTCGATAAAACCTTGTTTTTGGCGTAAATGATCTCATCTTTCTACCCGAACACATACAACAAACCTTCCTTCTCTGCAAAATAAACAGATTCTCATGTATATACTTCTATGAAAAAATAGACTTTGGGCCGAAGCAAAGCTCTGCGAGAACACACGACCGAGTGACGAACACTTTGGGGAACCCAACACCACGGCACACCTCCACCGAGAACACCAACAACCGGAGGGCGGAAATAACCAACGATCAACAACGAAAATACTCAAATATCTAATCCCGATCGCCTAGTCGGTAATAATCATGGGGGGCGGGGGGTGTTTCGTACTTTTTTTCGTCAACTAATCGAGAAAACAACGAGAAAACGCGGGTTTCGCTAACGCTAACACATTTATGCTACCTGCGGGCGTCGAGGCGGTTTCCGGTTTTCCGCGCTCAAGTTACCCGCACAAAAAAAAAGAAAGAAACGAGAGGCTTTTCTTTGTCAGAGATAAGACACAGTTCTGGATTCATAAAAGTAAAAGCCGCTCCTCGCTGTTCTGTCAGAACCTGAGTCTGCGGGCCTCGTTTTCGTGAATCGAGGCGCCGAACGTACCGACGGGCCCTGAACGCATCAAGTGAGAGTCTGGTGTGCCTGACAGAAAAGAGCATTTGTACATTTGCTGCTGTATTAAAACCCTGCGTAGTGATTTTAGGGCACTTGTTTGTGGATTTTTCCCCTAAAACCACGTTGGTCGTCGACAGAGCGGCTCGCGACGACACGTTTCCGTCTGAGGAAGCCGCTAATTGGCCGCTCTCTGCCGCAGCATCCTGCTCTTTTGTTCGGCTTTTCAACCTGCTGTCGGAAGCAGCCGAGGGATTCCTCTCCAGCGGCCGGCGTCACATCGGCAGCCAGAAAACCAGATTCACGTCTTTTTCTACCCAAAGACAACATTTTTGAGACGTGTTGTCGATACGGCGACCTGATGCCGGCGGGGTCAGAGCGGGAGGTGTTTTCTTGTAGCTTTGAACCAGAAAAACAAGGCAGATGAGTAACGGAGAGAGCTGCTCTGGCAGAGTCCCAGAGCTCCTGTGGGGCTGCAGTGTGGCTCATAGACTGGATGGAAGGCAGAGAGCTTCCTCCAGACAGACGCCGAGTGTCACAGATTTGCACAGCAGCGCCCACGAAGAAGCAGGAAAACAATCGTGAACCCACGCAGGCTCGATGGCATGAATGTGAATGCAGACGGGACGTCACGGCGGCGTTAAAGCTGCACTCATGAATCAAAGCATCAAAGGACGACGTGAAGAGAATTAAAACCCAAATCTGTAGCTCAGTGCAGCTTTTTTAGCCTCTTTAAGCTCATTGTTGTGACTCTGCAGCCGGAAACTTTTGCTTTCTGAGAAAAACTCATGAACATGAGCCGCTGAACGTCCAGCGAGATGAAGACGTTTTGCTGAAAGACAGAACTTTGCACTGACACTGAATGCATCTCACAACATCTGCTTCTGTCAGATGTTGTGTTTTCAACTGGAAACAAATCTATAACTGCAGCTTTAAAGCTTTCAATGTGCAGCTCTGTGAGGCGTTGTTAGCATCTTTTAGCTCATTGTTGTGACTCTGCAGCCTGAAACTTCTGCTTTTTGGGGAAACAATTCATTATTTTACTATAAATGAGCTTCCCAGCAGTTATGCTAAGCTAGCTGAGCCGAGCTGTGTTGAATCCAAACACATGCTGATGCTGTTTCTGCAAAATGCATTTTCAATAACGATGTTGTGTTTTCAACTTATTGTGCAGCCAAGTGGGGAAAAAAATCAATAAATGTAGCTTCAAAGCTGCTCCTATGAATATATTTTCTATAACAAAATGCATCAAGGGACATTGTTTAGAGAATTACAACCAGAATGTGCAGCTCTGTGAGGCCTTGTTAGCATCTTTTAGCTCATTGTTGTGACTCTGCAGCCTGAAACTTCTGCTTTTTGGTGCAGAAACCTCATCCGCCGAGCTAAAGACGTGTTGAATGCATCTCCAAACACATGCTAACGTTGCTCTGTTTCTGCAAAAAGGCAAACACTAGCTTACATATCTAATAAAGTGTCAGATTTCAATTTGTTGTTCAGTCAAGTGGAGGAAAAAAATCCATAAATGCAGCTTTCAATGTGCACTAAGTGTGCAAGCGTTGGCCTGTTGGAAGGAAACCTCACAGAGTCTCTAAACTCTTCATCTTGATCGTCTTTGTAATTGTGATTTCTGATATTCGGCCACTGAGCCGACTACAAGGAGTCTCCACATTCTCTCTTCGGTTGTGTTTCCAGCTGCAGACTTGTCTCTCGGTGAACATGAGCCGGTAGCAGCCGGGCGGAGGTCGTCGCAAACTAAAACCCAACCGTCCCGTTGTTCTGTGTTTGCTGGACGAGTAAAGAAACGAGTGTTTGCAGGTTAAACTTGTGCTTTGTTTACCGTCTGCCTCCAGGTCGCTGGAACAGTTCAGGTGTGGCTCAGAGGCAGACTGAAGGTTTTGCATCACAAAATAATCCCCCGCAGCCTCGTGCATGCAAACACAGACGCTTATTAGCCTTTATATTGCGGTTGTTTTAAAACCATGAGCTTGTGGATGCAACTTAAGTACACGTGCATGTACACAGCTTTGGAAATAATCACTAGACCACCTGCTGTTTGCTTTTTTTAAAAAAAAGAAGCCAACAAACATGGACGTTGTTGGTTAAAACATCTTGTAGAAGACGACGACGATTCAACATGTGCAATAAATCATGTTTGAAATTTACATTTTGGTGCCGAAAACATTTTTTAAGCGCTGTTATTTTGTGCATATGTAAGAGATGACACAGAATAAATCGTCCAACGTCTGCAGGAATAAAACTGAAACATGAGAAAAGAGTTGCTTGGATTCAGCTCCACAGCGTCCATCACGACCTCAAGAAGAAGAAAAGCTCCACCGAGAACCACAAAGAAAAAAACTAATTATTTCCAAAGCTGCATGAATCCAACACACGATGGAACAAACATGCATTCAGGCTGCAGGAGTGTTTGTGTGCTTCTGCATGCAGACACGTGTGATGAGTCAGGAATCAGCCGAACACGACGCAGCAAAGAGCCGCCGACCGGCCAGCGAGCCGTCGGACACGAGGTCGGCCAGAAAAAACAAACAAAGACGGCGAGAAGAAACGACTCTGGGGCCAGACGCAGCTCTCGTTACTCATCCGGGTCCTTTTTCTGCAGCTTGAGGCCATCATTCAGTCGTTTTTAATAGTCTGGATGCTGGAGATGCATCTTTAAATGATTCACCGTCTGATCAGGTTGCAGCGGGACGATGTCATTATTTCTGATTCGCCAGGAGTCGCTTTCTAATCACGTAGTCGCACAATAAACTCTGGAGAAATAAACTTCTATTCTCAAGAGGATCAGGACTGATTCAAATTACTGCAGCCATGACGGTGAAATTGCTTTTATGTGATACACAAATTCAATATTTTGGAAGTTTTGCCGCATATTGTCTCAATAAAAGTTGAGGCCGGAGCAGATAAATCTCTGCTGTGCAGCCTGGACGGACCGTTGTGTTTGAATGCGTTCACTCTGACGCACGGTTTTTGTGCAAATTCAAAGATATGCACAAGTCTAGCGAGGAGCAGGACTGCAGGAAGAGAAAGACCAAATTTATGTGAGAGATTTGCTTTCCACGCCTCAGTGATTCTGTCACAAAGATCTCTGCCCTGCACACCGCATAAAGTCTCACCGCAGCTCCCCAGTGTCCAGTAAAAATCTGCCTTTTGTGTTCTGCTGTAGGATGGAGGCGGCTCTGGAGAGCTAGCAGGTGTTAGCATGGCGGCTAACCAGCAGTAATGCTCATAACGCTGTTTGCAGTAGTCGTCAGGTTTGTGCGTTACAAGCTACGAATCCCAGTTGGAATTAGTTTCGGAGAGAGTTTTGGGGGAAAGACGAGGAGTCTGAATGAAAGATTTGATCACTAAATAAACTAATTGTGTTTCGTGCAGTTTCATACCAGAAGAAGGATATTTAAAGATTTATAAGGAAAATAAAAATGTGTTTTTGGAACCAAACATGCAGCAACTTTGTGCACTTGTTCGTGTGTTTCGCCTCCTCTGCAAGCTGCAAACTTTTCCTTTTAAGTCCATCGATATGAATATTTTATACACAAAAGACAACTTTTTTGCAGAGAATTTCTGTAAGTAGACGCCTCTGGCATGAGTGTTTGTGCAGGTAGGCAACAGCTCTGATAACTGTGTCGGACCGAAGCAGGCCTTTCATCGCTCCACCAAATATTATTTTCCATCAGAACGACTCTGTGATCCGCACGCATTGTGTGATTTCCTACTAGTCTGTGAATTTCCTTCCAGGAGAATAAAAAACTAAAATGTAACTCTGGTGTCATCGCCTGAAGATGCTCCTCCCGACGCGTCTGTCAAACCTTTCGGGTGTCGAGTTGAGGTAAAGAATAAAGCGTACCGCGATCGCTCGAGGAGGAAATACTGTAATGTGTCGAAAAAGCTGCTGCTGAGATATTTATCTGTGTGGATGCTTGGGAGCAGAGCTGTGAGTTACTCTGCATCTCAGCGTCGAGAACCGTCGGGTGGATTCATGGATGCAAAGCGAGACGTCGGCAAACTCGACCGCAAGTCGGCAAGAAACGGGAGAAAACGCAGCGGCTGTGGTCAGCGTCGGCCGAAGGTTTCACCGGCTTTACAAAGTGGATGGACTTCTGCAACGACCGCAACACAAAGGGTTGGAACTGAAACAGACATTCCCAGACCGTCTAAAACTCAACAAAGTGTTGTTTCTAAGGTCATAGAAAAGCGTCCGCGCTCGCCGTCGCAGCAGAAGAAGAAGAAGAAGAAGAAGCCGCTGCGAGGGAGAGATTCAGAGATATGGCCCTATGTTCCTTTAATTATCCAGAAAAGTACCCTGCTTTTATTCTGAAAAATGCTCAACAGTTCAAAGGCGTGTTGTTTCTGCAGACTCGGTGTCTGGGGGGTTTTTTTGCTCGTTTTTTTTTTTGTCCTTCTCTGATTTCCCCAGAGTAACAAAAGAAAGCTGTCTGTTTTGTGTCCTTGCCAGTCACAGCTTCCTTTAATTTTGCATTTATTCATCCAGCTCTGCAGCTCCCGCCTGAAAATGCTTGTTGGAGGTGAAAAAAGAGTTCCTGGTGTACAAGAGGAATCCGTCGGGTCGGACGTAAAGAAGGTAGAAAAGTATCTAAGCTCGCGTGCTCGTGTCTGTGTTTCTGCACAGTCAGGTATGGGGTTTGTCGGTGCGAGGTGTGTGTTTTTGCATGTGTCACACGGTTTCCTGCAGGCAGAGGGCCTCCACGGCGTTGCTGGGTCCCTGGGCGACGCCGCCGATCACAAACAGCATGCCGGCGGTCTGCAGGAGGGCCGAGGAGCAGCGGGCCGTGGGCATCGGCGCCACGTACTCCCAGCGCCGCTTCACCGGGTTGTAGCTCTCCACGGTGCCCAGCGGCGACGGCTCGTTACCTGGAAAACAAAGAAAAGGACAAGTTAGGACGGCAGCAGTTTAAAGGCAGGATGAGGTAGTTTCTTCAAAGTCAGAAGTTTCCATCCATCTCCTCAGTATCTGCTAGCGTTGCCTTTAAACTCTATGACTTTGGGTCAAATGTTCTGGGTTTCCTTCCACAAGCTTCTCACAACAGTTTGATGGGTTCTGGCCCATTCCTCCTGACAGAACTGGTGGAACTGGGTCAGGTTTGTTGGTCTCCTTGCTCCACTGATGTTCTCCAGGATGGAGATCAGGGCTTTGTGATGGCCACTCCACAACACTGACTCTGTTGTCCTGAAGCCTCTCTGTAGCTAATCTGGAGCTATGCTGAGGGTCATTGTCCATCTGAAGACCCATTAGTGTCCAAGCTTTAACTTCCTGTTGATGTCTGGAGATGTTGCTTCATCATGTTCTTTCCTCATGATGCCATCTATTGTGTGAAGTGCAGCAGAATGACATCATCATCTGGGCTTCAACAAATAGTCTGAAGGCATCTTAGTGGATGTAAACTTCTGACTTTGAAGAAAGTCATTAAAAAGTTCTCTCTCATTATTTTGGCTTTTAGCAAATCGAGGTTTTCTGTCTTTAATACAGTGAATTCAAACTTCTGGTTTCGACTGTATGTGCTGCAGAGTCGTTGTTGAGAATTCAAAGGATTCAAATCTTTCTCGCGTCCACATTCACACACCAATCCTTCAAACTGTCAACATTCCTGAAAGTGAACACGTCTGATCTGCAGCCTCTCCAAGGAAAAGCGACACTTATTTCAGGTGAGACTCGTGCACGAGTAGCTGCAGCTTCAATAAACTCATCGTGTTAGTCGCACCAGATAACACTTCATCCGGCGACCTGATGAACAATCCCCCGAGACTCTCCAGCCGCTGTTGTCATAGATACAGAGAACCGTCCCTACATACAATCAGATCATCAGACATCAGCTTTTATCTGCGGTTATAGGATTGTTATTGCAGTGAGATGTGACAAATAAAGACGCTCAGATTAAAGTATTCCGACTTTGAAATGAGCAGAAATTGAAATCCTCCCCAGTCCTCGGCTCGGCTGTTGTTGTTGCACATTTCTGTGCATCGTTCTCCGAAGAGGATGAAACTATTTTTGGGGCGTATTTGTGGGAACGTGGCTGCAGCTCGGAGCCTCTGGGTTTGTTTCCCCGAGCGGCGGCTGACTGACGTCTGAGACGCAGCGCTGCCGGAGAACATCAAAGAACCGGAGACGTTCCAACAACACACACCGTTGTTCCAACACGGACGGAGCGACGCTGTCAGACTCACAAACCAGCAGAACGTTCTGAGAAAGTTCTGGTGATGTTTTCAGCGGGACGTTCTCATGCGATTCCCAGAATGTTCTGAAAAGGTGCATAAAATATTTTCCAAATGTTGCATTGAGAACTTCCGTTATCATGTAACATTGTGGGAACATTTTACAGAAGAACGTTCTCAACAGCAACATTCTCAGAACATTGCAGGCATTATGTTCCACCTTTGTTAACATATTAATTACAGGAACGTTTTATAAAAACACATTCTGTCTTCTGAGGCCTCGAGAACATCTGAAAAACATTATTTTATTGTTGGTTTGAGAACGTTCTTCTTGTGTTATCATGGAACATAACCTGACAACATCCTCCAAACATCCTCTGTTAAAACGTTCTGTCTTTGTTCCCTTTTGACCCCATAGGAACCTAATTATTTATTAATCTAAAAACATTCTGAGAAAGTTCTGCAAAGTTCTGGCAACACCTTCTTTGGTTCCCAGAATGTTCTCCCTAAGGTAGGTTAAAGTTCTCTAAGGATGCTCTATGAAATCGTTCCTAAATGTTTTCCAAATGCTGCATTGAGAACATTTTTTGCTTTGTTATCATGTAACATTTTAGGAACATTTTATAGAAGAACATTCTCAACAGTAACATCCTCAGAACATCCTCAGAATGTTGCAGACAAAATGTTCCACTTTTGTTAAATTTTAAATGACAGGATCTTTTTTTATAAAAACACATTCTGTCGTCTGAGGCCTCGAGAACATCTTAAAAACATTGTTTGAATGTTGGGTTGAGAACGTTCCCTTTCGAACATTATTAGAACTTTTAGGTGACGCTAGCTAATGTTGTTGCAACGTTCCCTGCTTGCTAGAATTTCTTTTTGTTCTAAAAATGTTCTAAGAAAGTTCTGGCAATGTCGTTCTTCTTAAATGCAGGATAAAGTTCTCAAAGGTGATCTAAAGATGTTCCTAAAACATTTTCCAAATGTTGCATTGAGAACGTCCTTCCTTTGTTATCGTGCAACATTGTGGGAATGTTTTATAGGAGAAAGTCCTCAATAGCAACATCCCGAAAACATCCTGAGAACATTGCAAATACAACATTAGAAAAAGGCGTGTTCCTCGTTAAGCTCCTGGACGTAGAAGCTGCTCATTTACAGACGGCCATCATTCATATGTAAATGCAGGTTGTTCATTTCATGTGAGTGGATTCAGAGAGCCGAAGGGAAACGGTGACGCCAGGAGGTTTGAGACCAGATCACAATATCTGCAAACCTCAAAGAGTCCAGCGTTCGTTCTGCCTGCGACATCTTCTTCTCCCCTGTGATCTTCCCGTCGCCGCTTTGTCTGCTTCCCGTCTCTTTCACTTCAGGTGCGCCGTCATTATGCATCAGGCGGCGCTGAGTTGTCGCCGTTACCGTGGCGACCCACATCACAACGACTCCCCCCCAGAACGATGCTCGCCGAGGACCGCGCACATCCGCCCGTCTCAGAAGGACCATTGATCGCCATTTTTATCAGAAGAACAAAGTCGTCCTGTTCAAAGCGGCCCGTCCCGGCTCCTTCGTCGCTTCCTGTGAAGACACGTGGACCGCCCACTTCCTGTCGCTGCTTTGATCGTCGACCCGCGGATTCGCCAGCAGCTTGGCCTCGTCTCCTTTTTACCTCCTTTTCCCAGTTTCCTTACTCGACTCGTAACCCTCACGTACAAATAATCAGCTCGTTTAACTTCATCCATCATTATGTTCTGGCTTTGGGTCTATGCTGCCGCAAAAAGATGATGTCATGTGACAGCAGTGGCACGGTGGTGGCATCATCACTCATAACATGCATCCTTCCCCTTCAGCTAACTTGACCCGTTTGGGACATTTGACAGCAGTAAAAACACCCTAAACGTTCTTTCAGCCTGGAATCTGATTATTTTTTCCTAAAGTGGCCCAAAATACATTTCAAAACTGTATGTTTTTGTAAAGGTGCTACAAATTTTTGCACTCTGAGGTTGTTTCGTGTCAAATTTGATCCGTATATCCACCGAGATGGGTTTCAGATCGACCAGCGTGGGTCAAATCAAGGAAAATGGTGGTTTCAGGGAATCTTGAAACCGTGAAACTGTCCAGGCCACGCTTTATGTGTATTTTACATTTACATTTATTGATGTGACATCGGCTTTGTAGACATTCTGAACAGATCTGTAGTTTATAATTTGGTGTAGACGCCTACTATGAGGGAATTCGTGACATAAACCATGAACAGGATGTGAGGGTGAACTCTTTTCTGACACTTCTCGGTTCTGTAACGCTGCTCAACTGTTCCTCTCCGCCAACCCTCCTTCTTCTTCTCGGCTCCTCTGCTCACATTTTGCTTCTTCTCGTCTCAAATTCTTTCTTCTGCATCCGTCACCCCTCCGACTCTCGGCACTGTTTTCCGTCTCTCTTGTTCGTTCGTCTCTTCTAAAAAAAAAAAAAAACTGTCTCTCGCTTCCATCCTCTCCACCTTTCATTCCTGCACATATTTTCTTCAGTGTTGAAATAAACTGCTTTTTTTTATTTATTTTTCTAACTCCAACGCAGTTACATCAAAACTGACCTTCAGCGCTGAAAGAGTCTCGACTCAGACTCTCGACGTAAATTATTACTTTCAAGATTTTCCACCGTGTCTCTCAGAAGGTTGGAGTCTTGCTGCATCTCTTTTAAGAATCAGACATCTGTTGGTATCAGAGCTGTGAACGTACGCTAAAGATTAGTGAAAAGTGTCCGTAATTTAAATGCAGAGAGCTACATGTTGGATGGCAGGTGTTGTTACAGTCAGGTTGGTGGTTGTTTTTCCAAAAAAGACAAAGAAACCGAAAAATACTCAAACCTAGACGTCATGTAGAGCGATCGCTTGGTGGGTGAATCTCATTAACGAGGAGGTGAACTGCAAGTGAACTGTTTGGTACCGAGAGACAGAAACCAGATCTTATCCAAACCTTCACCTGCTGTTTTAGGATAATTCACATCCATGAAAAGCCAAGTTGTTATAGTTCATCCAAAGGTAAATGCCAAAAAGTAAATAAAAGTGAAAAAAACTAAATAAAATTACACAATAACCTCTAAAATCTACCTTCCATACTTGTTGTTTCACAGCAAAACAGATTTTGAGTTACATAATTTGTATCTTATGTATGTTTTTGTCTTTTTTTTTGCTGCTAAATAACGAGAGCTAAAAAAAAAACAAACAGAAAAAACAGATCCCGTCCTTTACCTGTTTTTTTGGGACAATTCACTAAATGAAACGCCAAAGTTGTTGGGGTTCATCAAGAGGTAAATGTAAATCTGTGGAGAATTTACCATCAAATTGCAACTGTGTGAACCTCGTGGTGAAACAAGAGAATCATAAATGTTGGCATAAAAAGTTCTGGAAAGAGTTCAGCAGCAAACTGACCAAGCAACCATCTAACTGACCAACGTCAGAGGCAAAGAAACTGAGGAATGGGTCTAAAGTAACTGCCAACTTCTTCATCTTCCCTAAAATAACATTTCAAGCTGAAAGGTCTCCATTTTGAGACCCGGAGCAGATGGTGCTCGGTGCACTAAACAAAACTCAACATCCACTGAGCTTGTTGCAGGAGCGCTGGGAGCTGTGTCTTGCTGCACAAAGGACACGACTTCAAACGGGATGGTACCGTTAGCGGTATACAGGCTTTGAACTTTTTGAGTGGACC